ATAAAAATAAAGTAAGATAATTAAACATAAATAAACTAAATTTATTCCACTCTAATAAATCAAAATTATTAACGAATATAAATGAAATAAATTAACAATATAATCTAAATACATTAAATAAAATAGACAAAATAAAAATTAATGAATTATAAAATTAAATTAATTAAACATAAATGATTAAATAACATTAATTAAAAATTAGTTTAAAACTCAAATAAATCATTAAAATTTTAAATAAGGTAAATAAAAATCAGTGAATAATAATCCAATTTTGATCATCTCAAATAAAATAAGGTTTCATAATTAATACAATGAAACTAGATTTAATTAATCGAATTCATAGATTAAATATTAAACTATTAATGAAAGGACCTTTCATGCTTTATATTTGATTCTTTTGGAGGGAATATTAACATTCGATTCAAATGATACTTAATCAATTTTAAATAACGAGAAGACCCTTATGCATTGTATTTAACTTTTATTTGGAAGATACACATGCATTGGATTTGAAAGGTCCTTAATAAATTTTAAATAAATTAAAAGCTTTTAAGTAATGCATTCACCTCCTTTAGGAAAGCACAATTGCATTGGATTTTAAAGCTCTTGAATAAATTCTTAATAAATTCAAATAAATTTAAAATTTAATGAAAAATCAGATATAATTAACCAATGAGATTGTTTGGTAACCTGGGATTACAATGCTATTAAGTTAGTCTTAAGTAGGGTGAAATAAACCTCTCAACCACGGTTTAACAAAGACACACTATTCAACCTAAATAATCACCGATAAATAAATTATAAAATACTTAGAAATTAGAACTTTATACCCTTGTGCTAGACTCTTTTAGGAAGAAAAAAACTTATATTGGATTGAAAGCTCTTAAGGAATAAAACACTTAATTAAAAAGCAAAGCTTCCATGCAACCAATCCTATCATTTATGGGGGAATGTTAGCATTACAAATTATGAGCTTTAGAACTTGTTCATTGGCTTTTGCACTTTGAAACCACTAATTGACATGGTTGTTCTTTAAAACCTAAAATTAAATAATTCAAAAAAATAAAATCCTCTAAAATTTAATTAATAAAATATTAAAATATTAAAACTTAAATTTAAATTAAAATATCTCTAAACCTACAACAAAAAAATAATCTCAATCTTAAACAACTTAAACATCAAGCCCCTTTGGACATATCAAAGATACAACCTTTTCTCACACACTTAAGATTATTTTCTAGAGCCACTTACTCTAATTCTAGGCTAGGGCATCCACCACCTAATGGAAGGACACGCGGGGTGGTTTTTTTTTATCCGGTTTAGACACCAGTCAAAATTGTTGAGTGATAGCTCGGAGAAAAAGCACAGGTATAGAAAGCTAACCTGGTAGTACATGAGCGTTGATGAGCTGTTGGTTTACCAACTCCTTTCTGCGACTCTAAGTGTCGGACCTTACAGCGGGTAGTGCTTAAGCTATAGAATAGAAAAACACTTCATAGAAAAAAGAATTCCTTTGCGGCTTACCAAGTAGTAAGTAAGTTGTTGAATACGCTGATGGGAAGTGCAATTGTTTCAACTAAACACGAGGGTTGCGCTCGTTGCGGGAAGTATGTTTTGGTATAATACGGGTACCTTTGCCTGGAAGATATCATTGGTGTGATTGTTTACTTTCGGTCTTCTGGATGTCATGGCATGCATAATTACATTTTTATTGGTGCACTTTAGTTTATTAAATTACATATACATACACCATGCATGCATATGCATTTATGTTGTCTTTTATTTTGTTTCAAAAAGAAGAGCAAAATACAATATATCTATGATGTTTGTAAAAATAAAGATTCAAGGTAGAATGTATCTAGCAATGGATGCAAATTATAAAGTGCTCATTATACATTTGTATATTTCAATTTCAGAAAGTTGTAAAATGCTCAAAGATGTTTGTTTACATAAATATATAGAGCACCAAAAGAGAACACCCTTCAAACTCCCTCTCCTTTGAAGGGTGTTCTCTTTTGGAACCCTATAGAAGAGTTGGAGCTAGAAGAAAGTACACTAATGTATTTGAACTTAAATTCATAGGAGTAGAAATCCAAGCATATTGTGATGGAGCTTGGCCACCTTACTTTCTTGCAGACTCAGAGTTATATTTATGTCTCCAAATAAATGAATAAGAGATTTTTTTATACATTTGCTTCATGCATCATAATACATGACACTAGCTAGACCCATTTGTATATCATACAATCTTGAATAAACTCTCTGGATTAAATATCCTCGACTGCCTAAGATTAGAGTCATCTTATCTTGCATTCATAAGACGATTAAATGTGTTTAGGATGTCAAATTGCAACTCACTCAAGGCAAATATAAGCCAAGATTGTACAGTCCTCAGTATATCTTTTCTAATTTTTCTTCTGAATGAGTAAGTCAATCTTTAGCTATTTTTAAACTCAAATTTTTAATCAAATCTTTATATATTAAAAAAAATATAATCCTCACTAAAGATGAAGAAAAGTGTTTATTTCCCTATGGATGGAAAAGAATCTATGAACCCTCACTATGCTCCAAACCAAGAAGAGAATAAAATACCATCCTTAATCGAGAGTATTCATAAGTCAATGCCAAAGATATAATTAACCACGGGGGCTTGTGCCCATGGAAAACCAATACCCACATCAAATAAACCTCATTTGAGCTAATGCATTGAATGGGGAAAATCTCGTGACTATCAAGTTATATATAGTATTATTCATCAAGATGTGTAGGCAAAAATCGTTATTCTCCATGAATAATCGTATGCATAATTTCTTCTATTCTTCCGTTGGTCTGCTTGTATAGAGTGTAAAGGTCTACGATCGTTTTATCCTACGTGATAGTGTGATCATACCATTTGCATTCTAAACACCCGCTCGCAGAGTCCTTTTAGAGACCCACATTGATAATTCTAATATTTTTAGAATTTTATTTCAATTTTAATGAATTTAATATTTAGGCATATGCAAATAGAGGTTACGTCAGTAGATAAAGTTTTAATGTGCGTTAAATGATGATCCACACAATCAGAGAAATGAAAAGAATAGAGTACATATGATGTTTTGCATAAAAAATTCAAAAAAGAAAAATGGCGGGTATTGCCCAGCCAAAGAATTTCTACTAGTTGCAGCAGCCTTGAAATCTGAATGTGTTTTTGTGTACGGTGATAAAAGGCGATGTGAACTAATTCTACTAAATAGAGAGAGGGGAGGGATGACCTAGAAATGATAGTGACTAGAGGTAGTCAAAATAATGCTTCCAAAGAATAAACAAGCTCTACTTGGTAACAAAGGGGCGAAAATAATCCTCTTATGGGAGGGGGAAGGCTGAACTATATGACATGAAAACAAAAATGAAAAATGGGGAAGAATAGTCCCTCTCCAAAAAAGATGGGGGACTATACAATTTGAAAATGATGATGTAAGGAGTACTTGAAAACACCAAAATGGATAATTAGAACTCCAGGTGATGGTCAAAGCTCTAAAATTCTTTAAAGTTTTTGAGTTTGGAATGTCTAAATGAGGAAAATTGAGTATGCACTTCTACGGTCTTAAAACCACAAAAATGATATAAAATTAGATTATATTTCTTTATTTGTTTTTTTTTCCTCATATTTTGCTAAATTTGAGCCTATTTTTTAATTCCCTATTTTTTGTGTTTCATAAAATATGAAAATCTTACTATTTTCTTAATTTTAAATCACACAAAAGTTATTTTGAAAGCCTTTTTGACGAGAAAAAAGCCATAAATCCCTTGAGGCCATGAAACAAAATCACAATCATACTCTTAAGATTATGCCAAAGTCCACAATCCCTATTTAGAAGCTCTATTGTTCTTCTAAAAAAGAAGTTATAAGGAGAAGGAATAACACACCGTTTAAAGCCTATGATTTTCTTTTAAAAAGGTTCAACTATAATGAAACAACACAATTCTGAAGGGGAGTCAAAGCTATGGTCCACCAGTGACATGATGAGGAAAATACGTGAAGGAGGGCAGAATTAATTAAAGAGCATGATACCATAACAATAACTTGATTTGGATTGAGTCACTTCTAGGGTTTAGGGTTGATGTTCCATGTTGGTCTCCTTGACTAGCCCAACTTTCTGAAGCCAATTTAGGATTCTTTTGAGCAGCTTAACTTCATAAATGGCTTTCCATATTGACTTGTAAAGCAAATGAGAGACAAGTTAGATTAAAATTGTTGCAGTGGAAGTACCTAAAACTTCTCTCTTTAGCAATGCCAAAAAAAGCAATTGAATTAAATTAGGAGAAACAAAACTAGCATCACATGTAGATATAACATGAAAACAAAAAACCATAAACAAAACTAGCATCTCTTACATAAGTCACAACTTAGTGTGCCAATTGAAAATGCCAACAAAGTGCATTCTTACATTCCTAATACCTAGGTTTGTATCATTGGTCGACTCTCTCATGTAATTCATAACTTTGCGCATATCAAGTATATCAATAAGGTTCATTCTAATCCATTCAATATGTTGGCTTTGAAAATCCCAAATTTCAAAGATCCAAAATTATCTCAAATATGACCCTTAATAGGGCAACATGCAAATTCTTACAACCTCCCTCTCATTGGTTCGCATGGATATGGTACACTGGTACTTACCAGCTTAATTACTAATTTGATGGTCAAGAGGTTTTGGATAAAAGGAATCCATTGTCAGAGTGGAGCACAGATTTTTTTTTTTTTTATTGAGCTAATTGCGTTCAGAGTCGGATCTTCTTCCAAGGTGAAGTGAGCTTTCCAGCCACTACCAGCGACATGGATCATCATATACATGCAACAAGGTAAGTGATGATGGAAAGAATAAGACATTCCCCTAATGATGGATCACATTCTAAGTTGTCTATGTATACAGTAAAAAAAATTCAACTAATACGAGGAAATCTTCATAATCTATGTATGTTTACTGAAGTATAAAGCTAAAATGTGAACAAATTACCTTGATTCATCGATAATAGCAGCTGTTTCACAAGCTCATCCCCATAAATTCAACTACTCCATAGGCCTCCATAAATCTGGTATTTAGAAGCACTTTTTCAATGTATGATAAAGCTTATATACGATAAATATAGTTAAGCAGGGCAAGAAAAGAGAACAGTTTGATAAAACACACAGAGATCATTTATAACTTTTATAGCAAACAATTCAGGCAAGCAAGACTAAAAGAAAGATTTGCAAGAAAAAACACTACTAGCAAAAAGTCAAATAGCACAAATTGAAGAGGATGCACCAGCAGAGCCAGCATCCTCTCAAGCAAACAAGGATAGCATTCAAAGCCTGAAAATGACTGAAAATATCTCAAAATATATGGAAAAGAATAAAAAAATCTAAAAAAGTAAAATTAGCTATTTTGTTAGTGAATACATGAATTACTTAAAGCTACTGTCTTCACCAAACAGTGGCTGAAATCAAACTAAATCTGGTTGGAGTTGCTTGCATTGGGATTAACAGACACAAACTGCTTCCACTATGTTTTACATGGCATAGTTGTTAGTTTTAAACTCAAGGTCTGCTAGAAGCAGCAGAAATGTCCAAAGAATATCTGCTGTGCTATGATGCACTAACACTCCGCTTAAAAAGGGAATGCAGTATCGGACAAGTGTCGGACATAGACACGCGTCTGACACGGCATAAACACATGTCCAACACGACATTGGAGTGTCACAATTAAAAAAATAAAAATGAAAACAGACACGCGTGTCTGGTTATTAAATGATAAAATTATCGACGCCAAACGGATCGTTCTATTTAGCTTTTAGCCACGAACGAGAAGCCCTAATTTTCCGATCCACGAAAGAAATCTTCTAGGGCAGACCGGGCGAGCTTGCAGCCGATGCCAAAATGCTCGAACCGAGGCCAAGCCGAGCTCGTCTTCCCCATTCCTTCGTTCCTTCATAATTTCTGGGGTCAGCCGAGGCAAAGCTCACAATCAACGCCAAACAGAGCACCTTCTGTATGCAAGAGAGCCAAGACCTGTAAGTTGATTTCGCCGTTTCTTCTTTTCATTGTTCAAGCTGTCTAGATTAATTGAAATATTAATTGTTGTTTTTTGAAACTTACTACTGTGACATCTATTGGATGAGATCCACGTCGATCTGTTGCTTGAGCTATGTCGGTTAGCTAGAAGATTTCTTAAAATGACTGTAGAACACTATATGTATTTAGTTCCTTTAACGATGCATATTGTTCTGAGTTCCGTTCATTTTATATTCCCAATCCTTGCCATACTTTTTTTATTAGTTCATTATTTTTTATTTTTTGTTTGATTTATTTTGATACATGATTACCAGATATGTTTTGTTTGCTTTTAATGTATTCCTATGTATGATTGGTTTGTTACAACTAGATAAAAACAATGAATAATCAATATATGTTTTGTTTGCTTTTGATGTATTCCTATGTATGATTGGTTTGTTACAATCTTATCTAAATAAAAACAATGAATAATCAAGATATAAATGAAATTATAATTTCTATGTTGAAGAATAGTAGTTCAAATAGAGAATATCCATTATGACATGTTAAGCGAAGTGTAGATTGCATTTTTGTCTTTCACTGATCCGATTTATGACATGTTGATGTATGCAAGGGGGGGGTCAACACAAGTTGAAATTTTCTTGTATTTTCTTGCCTTGTGTCTTTTCATCTTCCCCCTCTCCTTTTATGTTATCTGTCCTTTCATCTTCCATTTGTCCTTTGAAGGTTGCTGGTTTCATGAGAACTATGGCTGTTTCGGTTTGAGCTTAAGAAGTTAAACTTTAGTTGTGCCAAGCTCATTAATATCTAGTGGAGAAGTAGCTCATTATGAGCTAATGGCTTGCTATAAAAATATGAATTGGGAACAAGATTTGATGTGTGGAACTTGATCTTTCACATTCCTCTTGAAGTTGAGTTGCTGCAGCTTTTTTTTCTCCTCTGGAAAAGCCTCTCACGGGCTGCTGCTGCTTCGGGTGTGGTGTGCCTCTTCGGGTGCTGTTTTCTTTTCTGAATCGGCATGCTTTTGTTGACCGTGAGCTTATTCGCCTGGTTTCCTGTGCTGATTCCACGGGTTCTCTCATCTGAGCTCACAAATGAATCTTTAGTAGACTTATGTTCCGTACCTTTAGCTTTTTTATTTTAAGCATAAATGATGGGTAGTAATACCCTTCTTAGAAAAAGAAAAGATTAATATACTCCCTCCCCCATCCCAACCCAATATATATATATATATATAGAAAATAAGATAAAAAAAGCTGAAAACAGAAAATAAAACAACAAAAATTGCGTTGATGTAGAACTTCTTAACATCAGCCTCCATATCAAGGTCCTCTAAAATTTTTCTCCGCTTCTCCAAGTGTATATATATATATAGAAAATAAGATAAAAAAAGCTGAAAACAGAAAATAAAACAACAAAAATTGCGTTGATGTAGAACTTCTTAACATCAGCCTCCATATCAAGGTCCTCTAAAATTTTTCTCCGCTTCTCCAAGTGTTTTTTTCTTGATCCAGAAAAATGCCTTACAGATGACATCATATCAAAGAGCTTTTATCTCTAGAAGAGACATTACAAATTCTGTTATTTCTATCATTCCAAATTGCATAAAAAGCAGCTAAGGAGAATAAAATCAGAAGCCTTTAAAACTTTCCTTGATATGCTTCTGTCTTCATTTAATTTGAAGTAGATAATTCCAAGTTAAGCTTTAATGCTAAAAATCCTATAATTCTTCTCCAAATCTTGCTTGCAGCCCATCAATTAAAGAGCAAGTGAAAATCATCTCCTGGGTAGGTTTAACACATACAAGTCGCAGATTGTATAATAAATACCATGATTGAAAATCATAACTTTGCATGACAGCTCTTTGTTGTATAGAATCCAGTACAGCATAGACATATTTAAAGGTACAATTGATTTCCATATGACTTCATATGCTAAGGATTTTTTTACACAATTACAGAAACGTTTGCCTGTAAATTTAACATTTTTAAGATTCCAAGTAGTTTGTCCTCTTCCACATCAGTCTTAAACCCAACAAGCAAAGAATATAACTCAATAATAAGTGGAGTAAAATAATAAGGCATAATTCTATCCAGAGAACAAACCAACCTCTAGCAGTCAAGTTGATTTGTGATTGGACGGAACAATTTTGATTCCAGCATTCACATACAATTCAGGAGATCAGAAAGGTCATTTGGACAGCCGAAATTCAGCCTCCAACATTCAACTTCAATGGTCTTTTCAGTCTGATAACAGGTTTGTTTGAAGGACAATTGAATAGCCAAAAATGAGTTACCTTGTCCTTCTTAATATAATTGTTATGCATAGAGCAGAAGATTAATCACAGCTATCTATACAACACTTCAAAATTCATTTACACTAAAGAGCAAGATTAAAAGATTTCAAGTTAATAATCCCCAAACCACTAAATTTCTTTGGTCTACAACAAGTTTTCAAATTTGATACCTGACAAAAATTGAAGAGAATCGGTTAAGTAATTATTTCCAATATTTGTGTGGTACTTATACAATCCTAGAGAGGTTTTAACAGGAAGTAGATAAAACAGGGAATAATAATTATAAAATAAATAAAATAGTCCCACAAATTTGTGAGATGGAATCAATGATCCCACGCATCCATGCCGTGTCAATGAAAACAAGCGAAGCAGAAAGCCAGCTAGACAAACATTAAGGAGGGAGAGTTTATGTGCTATAGGTGTTGGCTTGAGAAGGAATCCATGGGTTGGGTGGCATTTCAACTTGGCGGACATCAATGAGGTGGAAGTCATGGGTTGTGGGTGTTTCCACTTTCCCCCTATGTGAATAAATAGATATAATCCATTCCTAGCTTGCTTGATAACTTTTGGATGATTGCTCCTAGTACTCCTTTGGTGAGTATGGCTGCAAGTTGTTCAAGTATTGTAGATGTTTTTTCGGGTGCTCTTAGTAAGCTTTTTTGTCTTTCTATCATTTTTAAATCGCTAAATCTTCTTCTTCCCTTTAGTAACCGGAAAACCAATTGTGACCACTTTAGATAGTTCTTTACATTCATCTGGTATGTTGAATGGATGTATATAGCTATCCCACTGGATTTATATTGCTTCCTTTAATTCCAAGAGAACCTGATATTACTCGTATGTGGGTTTCGTTGTTGTTGTTCATGAAGAGGAAAATTGTGCTTTTGTTCACAATTCAAAAAAAAAAAGTAAAGAAATGCATCAATGTGGCGATGGAAACTACAACAAAGAGAATATGTGGCTATGAAGACTACAAGTATAGAAAATTAGGAGAAAAGGAAGAAAATGCAATAATGAAAGTTGCTGGATTGTGGTAATGCAGTGATGAAGGCTTAGAACTCTGATACCATTAAAAATTTTGGTGAGGATTGGTTGAGTAGATTTTAATCATTCCAACATTTGTGTAATATTTATACAGTCTTAGAGAGCTTTTAATAAGAATCATATAAAATTAAAAAAAAAATTATAATAGTGCCACAACTTTGTGAGAAGGCATCAAAGATCCCATGGATTAGGTGACAACAAAAAGAAGGAAAAGAACGGGTGGGCCAGCTGAGTGGATATCAAGGAGGCTGAATTCATGGGCTGAATAGGTCAGTTGGAGGAGGAATTCATGGTTAGGTGGCAAGTCAGCTAGGAGAACATTAAGAAGGTGGAATTCATGGGTTGTAGGTGTTTCCATAATAGGAACAATCCATCTTCCCTTTTAAAAAAAAAAATTTATAATCAAATCAATTTTATTCATAGCCCATTGAGGGAATAGAAAAAAAAAGACATGTAGAAAAATAAGATATAGATAAAGATGTGCAAACATCACATTTCTTTACACCACGCCATAAGAATTCTTCGTAGAATCACCCTCAAATGTGAATTTATATAATTTATTTCATGAAATTTCTAGTGTTTCTAATTTTCAGAATTTCCTTGTTAGCTTCTGCTCGAGCTAAAATTTTCTTTCAAATGCATAAATTGTTGAAATTTGAAGAATTTACACAAATTTAAGTTGAAATTGACTATTATAGAGTAAACGGTTTGTGAATTTTCTTCATTTTATATTTTCTTAATTTAAATTAAAATTCTTTCAAATATATAAAATGATCCAAAGTTGATGGGCAATATAAGGTTTATGGTCCTTTTCTTCATTTTAGATTTCATGAATTCAATTTAAAGTTCTTTAAAATGTATGAACTGATCCAAATCAAAGGACAATCTAAGGTTTGTGACAACAATTCAAAAAAAAAAAGTTTCCATTGCCTAATGTAGGACTTGGTGGGGCTTAAATGCCTTATGCACATCACATGCTCAATAATATACTTTTCAATTGAATAACTTGGTTCAAGGAAGTGGAAAAGAATACCATTATTCCAAGCCACATATACCTACCAAGAGAACCAATTTTGGATGTCGATTTCTACGATGCAAGGGCATAAATCAAATGCATTGCAATCACCAAAAGGCTAGATTGTAGCTAGTTCAAGCTTCCGAAATCAAAATCTATTACACATTTGCACCAATTAAGATGGATTTGCTAGTCAATCTTTATTCAATGCAGGCAAATTTTCATGAATTTTTTTCTTACTAAGTTCAGCGCTTTAAGACCCAATACGATCAACGGTATGGTTTTGAATGGAAACCATAGATGATAGGTCCCCTGGAGACGTTCTTGAGCCTGTTAGATCGAGTTCAGACACCCATGCGCGCTACTTCCGAGGAAGAAACACTAACATGCTGGTTAAAACATCGGAGAACTTTCAACCTCTCTCACCACATTTACCAAAACAACAGCAGATAGTACCTCCACAAAACCATCACACTCACACCTCAATACTTAGAAACGATTAAGAAAACAAATACCCCCATAAATAGAGCAATGGAAAATTTCAATAAACAAGAAAAGCAAAACCCAGCATACCCATTAACAAAATTCCCCAAAGAAAAGTGCTCAAAATCAGCTACAAAACGCATATCCTCCCAAAAAAACACAAAAACTACACTGATACTTACAAAAAAAAAAATCTTACGGTAAATTCCATGGGCGAGCAAACAGAGCCCAACAAGATTCGAACTTTCCGTCTGAAAACCGATCAGGAGGCGAAGGAGAAGAGAGGTAGGAGCTCTCAGTCCTTACCCAAAGAGGAGCAGAAATGGCGGTTTCCGTGGGGCCAAAGCTTGGAATGGAGGAGGCTTCTTTTTGCTGTAGGCTACAGTTCCTTCGTTTGTTAGCCAGGGTTTTGTCTTAACGTCACCGTCCCGGTAAGTACAAGTGGCCGTCAGGAACGGAAAATTTGGTAACAATCCCCACCGGTTGGCTCTTCATGACCGCACGTCGAAAGCGTCACCGTCCTTCGTACTAGTTGCTACTGCGTGTGACATTACCATAATAATCATCTAATTTATTTTTTTAATTTAAATAATATAATTATATATTCATATTTATATCATTATTTTAAAAATATTTAAATTATTATATGAGCTTGATTAAAAAATTTTATGAATATTTTATTATCGTGTAAAATGCTATTTTTATTTTTGGAAAATATTTTTTTATTATAAAATATCAAATTGAATTTATAATATAAGGAAATAATATTAATCGACTTCTCCAATTATGAGTGGGATCCATTTCCATTTTTAAAAAAATTTGAGCATCTAATTATTATTCCAATTATTATAGTATGATTATTATTAAATAATTGTTATTTATTTTTTAAAATTTTAATAATATAAGTATGATTATTATCAAATAATATTATTTATTTTTCTATTCATATATTATTTTTTGAATAGGCTGAGGAGAAGAGTCAAATGGAGGATTTGATGAGTCAAATATTAATTTGCGAGTGCTTTGTCAACCGCAAAGCAAACAGTTAAGGATAGCTTTTTTTCTCTCTCAAATAAAGATGGGTATGATGTGCACATTTACTTAATCATATTAGCCTTATAATTTCTAGCAATCTAATAATATATATATATATTGATGTTTTGATTGATAATTTTATTTATGCTGCTATTTAGACTGTTAAAAAAAATTATATAGCTCTGATTGTGTAAATTAAAAAAAAAATCTTTTAAATTAGATTCTGGGACATCATAGGAGGCCTCCATCCAACTCCTATTTTCTCCTTGAATTGTTCGCTAGCTCTCTCCTTCGCTGAATTCCTTGATGAAGTATACCCAACGCCATCTTATGGCCACAAAACCAAGTCATTTGCAATCCATTCACAACCACAAACCACAATGAATAAATATGTGCACATATATTCATATAAATATGCATAAACATAATGATTCAATCTCAAGCTAATTTGATATTAGTCAAATTCGATTCAATTCAAATTATATTTGAGTTGAATTTAGCTTATTATTTGGTTCGTTAATTTTGATCATAACTGTATTTAACTCAAATATCAACCCAATTTTTAAATAATTTTTTTTATATTCAAGCCATAGTTATTGACTAAGGCTTCATTTGAGACAATCTTATTACTGCTTTCTACAGCAGCTTTTATTTCTTAAAAGCATCGAAAAAAACATTTGCTAAAAGTTTTCACAAATGAAATCAAAGACCCTTAGCATTTATATTCATACAAGAATGATGCTTACCCAGCAAAAAATGAATTTTTATTGATTTATGATTATAAATTTTTTATCCACTAATATATTAATAAACAAATCCATTAATTGCTTTTTAAAAAATAATAAAAATCTCACCTTATTTTAGACTAAAATACAAAAAAGTTATAATAATGAATGATAATATTTCTATTACAGATGTTTTTCTTTATTAGCACACGCAAATGCATTATTGCACTTTTTTTATTTAAATAGAGTGCTTATAATAAGAATTATGAATATTACATTATTGATTTAATGATTTGAGAATCAACGGCTGAGATTTAAGCCATTGCTTTGAATGATTATGAGGAAGGCTTGACGTAGAAGACGAGCCTATCTGTATATATATTTGTCATTATTTAAGAAAAATTTAACACACAACAAAAAGAGCTATGGGATACATACAAAATTAATAAAATCATGCATTCCTTACACGATTTCTTCATTATATTGGTCCCACATTCGCATAAATATTACTTTATGAAATATTAGTTATTTGTGTGTATTAATTTATTTTAATTGATAAAATTTTAGAAATTATTATCATAATTTTATATCGAATTCAGGTAGAGGACCGGCTTTACGAAGCTTTCAGACAAAGAAGGGTTCGTATTAGGAGGACCCTAGTTTTTCAAATAGTTTTTCCTTGCGAAACCTCTTAAGTAAAATAAGCTAAATTCTTAAATATCGATGTGACTTTTGGTGTAATGATTAAACTTTCATTAAGAAACTCTATAGTTAAGCGTGCTCATCCCGGAGCAATTATGGGATAAAGATGATGAACTTGAAGTCAGTTACTTAAGTGAGGGAGGTTGTGAAACCCCTTAAGTAAAATAAGCTAAACTCTTAAACATCAAAGCGCCTTTTGATGTAATTAATGATCGAAGTTTTATTAAGAAACTCCGCTGTTAAGCGTGCTATATAGGATGATGGATGACCTATTGAGAAACTCCGCTGGAGCAATTATAGGATGATGGATGACCTATTGAGAAGTTACACCAATATGACAAAATCGTGAGGCTCTTAAGACAAAGCTGACAAAATCTCGATAGTTAAGAGTTTAGGCTATCACATTCCTAGCTAAGGTCATTCGAGTTTCATTAATGTCCGAGTTCAAGTTATATGAAAACCCCACTCAATAAACTATGATCGTCCCCAACTCACTATTGATTTGCTTCACAGATTTTTTGCTAAAGACACTTGCTCTCAAGGACTCACTCGATGTCCTTGTTCCTAAGGACTCACCTCCGAGGACTAGCCCGACATACTTGTCAGAGAGTGTTCATAGCTACATCAGAGTCAGACAACCATGTTTGTATCTTCAACCAAGTCTATGTGTCTGTTACAATACTTGTCACATAATAACTCGAAATATATGTTAGATTTCATATCATTTTCACTGCTCAATAAAAACCACTTAATTTCTCGTATATTCTCATATTCGTTAGTCTTATTTTCTCGCTCTCATTAGTCATCTCTATTAGTAAAATCAGATACACTCCTGAATAAATTTGAATCCAACACGAACTAATTATTCATTAGACTTTCACTTTTGTTTTCATCACTTAAAGTGAATCATAAGCTCTAAAGTCGAATCTTTCCACGAGGTTTTCATACTTTTTTAATAGATTTCTTCCAATAATAGAGGCACTGAGCACTCTTTCGCTTAAAGAAAGCAAATCCTTTGTTCTTTCGGAAAGGAAAAGCAAAATGCATTAAAAGTACAAAGTGAAGATCATTAACTTGTCATGCAATTCAACTAATTATTTTGCCAATCATTTTGTGTTAACAAAAAGTTCTTACAAATAGAAAATGGATGGAGAAAATGAAAGCCTGCACTCAAGTTCCCATAACAATGGGAAAATCAATTTTAGGTACCTCAAATCCAGCATGAAGACCGGCATTCTAAACACATTTTTAAGATATATATTTTAAGTGGGATTTCTTTTATATACCTCATAACATTTGATATATATTTTTTATAAATATATACAAAAGTTTATTTTAGACAAATTCAAATGTTTTTTGAACTTGAGGCTTCGCTTGGGACGGCTTTCTTACTACTTTGTAAAGCAGCTTTTTATTACAAAAATTTTATTTTTCGTGCGAGAAAAATGCTTTAAGAAGCATTAAGAAAGTTGTCCCAAACAAAGCCTGGATCTTCGTTCCAACATTGGTTTAAATCAAGTTCAAGCAAATGTTTGAATTATATGTGAGCTTGTTTCAAACTAAAGTTTGAACATGTTGGTCTTATGATGCATTTGTTGGAAACCGTCTTCACATGCCGATCCCATAGAACTTTTATTACGTCCGGTGTAAGGACGTAGAGGAACGTCCGGTTGGAGGCAAAATCCCACCAAAAAACTCGGTATTTGTTTGGTACAATTAGGTATTATTTGATATTAACGAGGAATACCGCTCTTTGAAGACTCATACCAAGCTATACCGAGCTGTACCGAGAAATACCGAGTTGTACCGATTTTTTCTAGGAAAAACTCGGTACAACTTTTGTATAACTCGGTATTTCTCGGTTTAGCACAGTATAACTCGGTATTGGGTCTTCAAATGATGGTATTCCTCGTTATTGTTTGATATTGCTCGGTACAACTCGTTTTTTGGCGAAATTTGGCCTCAGATCGGACGTTCCTCTGCGTCCGATCGGAGGACGTAATAATTGTTCAGGGGACGCTCTAGCATTAACACAATTTCTTAAAGGATTCATATTATTATTGTTCGACAAGTTTTACGCTGGCTGTCGACTACCTAATGCAACCCTCCACTTTTCTCATCCAAGACTTGGGACCTGACAACGACAGTATTTTTCCAAATTTTAAATAGAAGAAATAAAATATAAATAAGCCAAATGCTGGATAACTCATTTATTTATTATTAAAGAAAACAAAATAGAATGCCAAATTCAAAACTTTTCTAATTTTATTTAAAAAAAAAAGAATTCACAGTTAATTGGCTGAATTTTAAAAGCACATACTCATTTAGTCGGTAACAAGCTAATTTATAGTCAATTTTTTGCAGTGGAAACATGGCAAGTTTGTCAAACTCCAAGAGCAATGCAGATGAGCAAAAAGTTCCTGCATTAATGGACTAAAATTCAAAGATTGACTAAATAACAAAGCCCAACAATACATCAGCCTTTTACAACAAAAAACAGGAGAAAAAAGAAGATAGAGACAAAAGAGGCTCGTTGGAAAAATTATTCTGCGCGGATGCCGATCGTCTTTGGAGACAAGTCAAAATGCGGCACATCACCCTGTGCTCGGTACCGCGGCTCGGCACCACTGACATGGCGTATTCTGGTGTCTGCGGATGATCAGTCTCCGCACATAATAATTTCTCCAAGTTTTAGAAGAGGAAATTTCTCCAATTATTACAAAAAAATTATGTTTTTTATTTCTAACAAAGCTAGAGCAGTTTTTATGAGGGATTTCAACCCTAAACAAGAAAATATACTTACTGAGCATATTGGCAAAATTTAGATAGCCAATTTGATCATATTTGTTTATGTGACACAACAAGCAACCCAAATCTCTACTGCAACCAGTCATCACTAACTAAACGATGTAGATTTCCTGATGACCGTTTTCGTCCCAATAGAACCTTTCAAAACCTCAGCATATTTTCTCAGCTCAATCTTCTCAGCCATATCATTTTCTTCATTACTAGCACTTCTACTGTGAGCTGAACGTAATGGGGGCACCACCTCTTCAGAGCCTGTTCTCTTATGACTATAAGATGAATCTCTCTCACTGCTATAAGCTTCTCCTTCCCCTTCTACAACCTCTAAACTTGTCCTTCTTGGCCTTTGTAAATCCACTGAGGATCTCAATTCAATTGCTGGTGTCTGATCTGCCAAGCTGATTTCTTCAACTGTGGTGGAAGAAAAGCTATCATTTGAATCTCTTCCAAATATATCTTCAACAGAACTGTTGGAGAAGGAAACTCTGTGATCTGAATTACAAGTGGTAGGAGTTTTGTCAACTGAGAAGACTCTATTACAGTGATGATGGTCCTTTCCAAGTATGAGCTTCTTAAGCTTGCTAAAGAACTTTATTTTGTTTGAGCTGTGCTTCAGAGTGGAGGAAATTTCCATAAAAGCGATATCTGATTCTCCAGTGGACACATTTGAAGAAGATGAGTGGTCGTCGAGGACTATCGGATTCATGGCATTCGCATCGGCATGAGAGTTGGAATATTCTAGAATGAGTTGCTTGGCTTTCTCCTCAGATCTGGGGCTCAAGCACTTGCTTAGATCCCTTGCAACTGTTTTCCCTTGTGGAGGCTGGTAATTCCTTAGCTCATACCTTAGGCAAGCATTGACCCATCTAAGGTAAACCAACTCTTCTACATCTGAGCTGTGATTGAGCCGAAGCTTCTCAATCTCCATTAACAGCTTGTCATTGGATTGTTTTAGGTTCTGGACTTCCTCCAACTCTTCTGCCTGCAAGTCAGGTAGGAGATCTAGTGATCTTATCCCAAGATGAAGAAAGATCTCATGGGAAGTTATAGGTTTGAAATAAAAAAAATTAAGAGAAACATGTTGAGTGGATGGAAATTTACAAGTTGTTTTCCTAGAAAACTACAGATAAGCCACAAAAAGATAGCATGTCAAATTCATCTCGTTGAATCACTCATTTTTAATATAAACATGCAAATTTTGGAGAATGTTTGATCACCAAATGGCCTCCAGAAATTTTTAATTATACTTATGAGCGTTTAATTTAAACTCACATAAACTTTGATCTATCCATTTGATGGGTTTATCTCATCGTATCATACTATCTCGAATATAAGATTATTGAAATAAATTCAAATCATTTTAAAGTTAACTCGCACTTTATGGCCCAAAATACTTGTATGTTTTGAGATGTAAAAGTATGTTAGAACTCATACTTGATCAGATGACTTTTTTTGTGATGTATTACTTGCTTCATACATTTGAACATCAAATCTATTAACCCAAAAATATTTTGGGCCTTAAAATTTTTGGGTTATGAAATTATATAGAGTGACTACTCTTTGAATGCCAATATGAACCTCCTCTCGAGTTATGAACCAATTGGGGGCTTAAAAGCTTTGGAATATGAAATTAGAATAAAAGAAAATTCCAAGGAGCGAATACCATTTGAATGTCAACAAAGACCTCTCAAGTCATGAACCAAGAGGTTTCTTTTTTATCATAATCTAACTTTTTAGTAGAGTCAAAATGATATTTAGAACAAAAATTAATAAAATAATCATATTAAAACCCTCCAAAATAACTTAAAATTGTGTATAAATACTCTATTAGATTCCAAAAGTGTCAAAATCACATCCAAAATGTCAAAAAATAGTTTAGAAGACCCTAACATGTCTATAAAGGCTTGTCAAAACCTTAAAAGTTGGTTGGGGCCATCGGCGAGCGACCAATACCACATACAACTGGGCATGCACATGTATTTCATTTTCATTTTTTTTTAGCTCCAAATTCCTTTTTTAAGCCTTCTTTTAGAAGGAATAATCCTTGATCCTCGAATCCCTCCACAAAAGTTTATAAATATTCAAATACTCTTATGAGGTTCAAAAGAGAGCACATTTTTTTTATTAGACTTCAATTTTCTAAAGAAAAGGCAGAAATCTATCTTACATGAAGTATAACTTTAAGTGGTGAGAGTGGTTCATCATTTTTAATTCAAGACTTATCTTAAAAGGAGGTCGATCGTCTTGGTTGCACGAGTTTAAATGAGGTAGTGAGATTTTTTGTCTCATTTTGAGGCTTTAATTTTAATCTAAGAAGAAATAGATTGTTCCCACATTCAAAATCCATCAAAAGGAAGATGAATGTTGATGTGGTACTGCGTCATCAGCAGAGTAGTGTGTAGATGATGGTGAAAGGTTTCTCTATGAAAGTCAATAGTTCAACCAATAACTTAATTTTTTAATGATTTTTATCAAAATTTTGATGATTTTTCCCACAATTTCTAGTCATTATGGTAGAATTTTTTTCATTGCCTCTTCCACACATGTATGATTCTCCGAAAACTTTTCAGCATCAAATGTTGTCGACTTGATACTACTAAAAAAATCATTTTGAAATTTTTTATAACAAAATCAACATTTCTAAATACAATGAACTTTTGCAATTAAACTAGTTGCCAACAAATTCAATACTTTTTTAGCACATTGCCTATATCATTAGCTCCTTGCATGAATTCTTTTTCATGCCAAAATATTCCATTTTATACATGAAGAAATTACAAAATAATGACTTCTCAAATTTGTCCCTTAATATATTATAGACTTAGAGATTTTTTTCTTGTGTAACTTGCATGCTCATCAAAATTTGATTTTTGATGTCTTGTAATTCGATTTTTCTTGAGAAAAAATATATTTCTCATGAATTTAGTTTATGGATTCAACCTGATATTCCTTTCTAAGGCATACAATCATCAAGAGATGCATCAACAACAACACTAAAATTATTCCTTTAGTCTGGAGGTGGGAAGGTGGAAGCATAACATTTATGCAAGGAATTGATTGATAGACCCTTCATGCCTATCTAGCATTAGGTGACTGTTAGGCCGGCCAAGGGGCCGGCTCTGCGGGTCTATAGGAGGCGGAAACAGTTCGCCTCCCTCTACTAATCCCGCCCATTGGGTGGGCTCCACTGCTCAAAACAAATTTAAATTCAAAAGGAGGGGGTGGCAAGGGCTGTTTGGTCCTTTTATGTATTTTAATTAATTGTATGCTTTAAGTATGGGAGGGAGATTAGGGTGAGGGGGGACTTTTGGATTATTCAGAAATTCTCTTATTGTCATTTGGGTGCTAGGGCTCTAGATCTGATTTCTAGAGATTGGGAGAGTGTGATCCTCCTCTCGAATAGAGGATCTTTGTATCTTTGCTATTTTTCTTTCATCTACTAGTAAAATACAAGCTATTTGGGTGATTTTTCTCCGCTATTCTCTTAGAATTTTCTCTGTTTTTCCACTGTTCTTGCTGATTTTCTGCTGCAAACAGCGGATTTCATTGAGATTTGCTTCAGATTTGGCTAGGAAATACTTGAAATCAAGTATTTCCTATCAGTGCCTTGTAGGTTTTTAAATTGACATGCCCCCCAATATCTTGAAATAACTGGAGACTCTATATGCCACTTGCTCCATTGGGGTTCATATATTATATAGCTCTCTTGGGATTTTTCTAACAATGACCTTTCCCAATATCAGGTGTCATTCAGAGCTTCCCAATAGAGGAGCTCTTGATGGTCTTTCAAATAAATAGAGACCAGACTACGTAGGGTCTATATATTATGGAGCCTTCATCGGGACCTTTTAATACAAAATTTGGCCAAAGTTAGATATCCTATAAGGCTTTTGAATAGATGTGCCCATAATAATTTATTTAATAATGAAGCCCTTCCGTGGATCATATCTAGAGATGAGATTAAATTTAGATAAACAGCAACTTTATCTAAGACTTGCTCTTTTTTTATTCATATATTATGAAACCCTCCTAAGGATTTTCTTGTGAGGACCTTGTATAGCACTAGATGCACTCTATGGATTCCAATCAAGATTCTTCGGGGTCATTTAGATAAGTGGAGATCCTACCACCTAGGGTTCATATTTTATGGAGCTGACTTACGCACATTTTAGTGAGAACGTTGTCCAAGGCTATATATCCTCTAGGGCTTTCAAATCTACATGTCGTTTAAGATTTTTTTTTTTTTTAAATTATAGAGCCCTTCTGTAGACTATGTATAGAGAAGAATTCTCTTAGAAGATTCTTATGGCCTTCCTCCTATATGCATGAAGCTTTGGAGAGAAACTAGTTTGATCAAGATCACCTTCAATTAAAGCTGCTCCTTCGACGTTATCATTCCACCATGATTGAAGTTTATAAAAAAATTTGAGCTAACTTTATTGTGCATAGTTGCTAATATTATAAATAATTGCCTTGCTAGTTTTAATATAAGTAGGGTTGCCATGATACGTAAATGTATGTTAGAGGAGTAGCTTAGCTACAACTTTACACGAAAAATTAAAGTTAATGCCCTTTCAAAACTTTTATCAGGGTTGCTCTTAGTACAGACTTGGTTCCCTTATACATAGGGGTGTCAATATTTGACACGACACGACAACCCGACCCGGACCCGACCCGGAAAAACCGGGTTGGACCCGACCCGTTTATCAAACGGGTCGGGTCCGGGTTCGCAGATTCAACCCGTTTGATAAAACGGGTCGGGTCGGGTTGACCCGGCGGGTTGCCGGGTCAACCCGAAAA